TGGTTCTATAATTTTTATTGCTATATTTAATTCTTCCCAAAATCTATCTGATAATATATAATTTCTCAAAGTAAAATCCATTTTTTCACGAATGATTAAATCCATTAATGCTTGTTCAAGTGCTATTTTTGATTTTTGAAGTGATTGAATGCAAGCAAGATGTGTATCCCATCGTGTAAATTCTGGTAAAACCAATGCAATTTCTTTATTATAATTTTCTTTTTGAATACGCTTTAATTTAGCTGCTGCTTGTATATATGCCTTAAAATAATTAACTAATTTTTTTGCATTTTCAATAACAAATTTGATTTGATCAAATTTTAAAATATCACTAATTAAAAGATTAATTACATCTAAGACAAATAATATTTGGATGATTTTCTTCAATAATTTGTCAAGCTGCTTTCATTACATTTGTAATATTTGTAGTATCTGTAATTACTGCTGAAAATTTATTAATATCAATAATATTCATTTGTTGTATAATTTGATTTATAATCCATTCAGCTGTATGACTTTCTTCACTAGAATAAATTGCATCAAAAAATAATGGTTTTGGAGTATAGATAAAATTTTGAACTGATTCTCTATTTATATTAGACCAATCATCTGAAACCATTGTAAGTGATTTAGCTTTTGAAATTTGATTATCACATTCAGCTTTAACTTCATCAAAAACTTTATCAAGCAATTCATTAGCAAGTTTTTTTCGATTAGGTAATTTAAATGCAAGATTTAATTGATGCAATTGTTGAAAAAATTGAATAACATAATCATTTTCAAGAAAAGTAAATGGAACTTCAGCTGTAAATAATGCTTGAGCTAATAATATTTCAAGATTATTTTATTGTTCTTCACTCATATGATTAATATGATTATCAATTTTTGTAATTTTTAATCGTTTAATTTAGGTATTTACAATAGGAATAGGAGTAAAAGTAGTTGATAATTGAGTAGAATTAGAAGATTCTAAAGTTAGTTTAGATTTTATTTTTGCATTATTTGGAATATTAAGACAAATATTATCAAGGTGAGTTTGTATTCTACTAGGAATACCATGATCAAAGTTTTAGAGCAATAATTATATCAAACAGAAGGATATATTGTATTATTATTTTCATTAATAATTATCCAATGCTTCCAAACTGCTTCTTTTCTTTTTACCATAATGTGAAAAAAAATGTAAAAAAAGATTGATAAAAAGATCCATGTGAAATCAATAAATAAATATAAACATAAACGAGAATTTTTATTTCTAACTATATTAATTATAGTTGATTATAGATTATATTATATAGAATAAAGCTTGAATTTGATTGGTTAATCATAAATAATGGTTAATTAACCAAATCTAACCAATGTTAATTAACATAAATAACGGTTAATTAACTGTGGTTAATTAAGCATAGCGGACATGCTTATATTACATATCGATCATTTTGCGATTATATATAATTGAATTATCACATTATATAAAATCAGCTGATCTAAACTTTAAAGCTTCGGACAACAATGAATATGCTTAGGCGAATTTTATAAATTAATAAATTTGATATTATAGATTATGCAAAATAAGATTTTAAAATAGTTAATTAAAGATTAAACGTTATGCATGAGTTAACTTTGGGCTGAAATAATTAATTATATAATTTATATAATAAATTTATTATTTTAGATTTCAAAATTTGAGGAAATATCATACATGTTTATGTAAACAGTACTGAACATTGTATTTAATATTTTAGGTTATGTAGAATATATTAAAATTTCATAATAAAATTTTAAACAACACAAAAATTAGCTTTGTTTTTTGAATAATTATATATAAATTATATATTATTTATTAAAATTAATTATTTAGGTATAAAGTTTTGAGCAAAGCCATATATATATACTTGTGCAAACTATAGCGACCATTTTATTTAATATTTTAGGATATGTAGAATATAATATAAAAGTTTTATAATAAAATTTTAAACAATACAAAAGTTAGCTTTGAACTAAAATATTTAATTATGTAATTATATAGTAAATAAAATATTTTAAATCTTAAAAAATTTGGGCAAAGTCATAAATGGTTATGCAAACTATGCTAACCATTAGGGTTCCTCAAAATCAAATCAAATATTAAAGCAATTTGAATTTGATTTGATTTTTTCGAATCAAATCAAATCAAATCAAATCAAATATAAAAAATTTTTTAATTATTATAATGATATATTAAAATAAAGTTATTCCAAAGTTTTAATTAAGAAAATCATTAGTAATTGCACTAAAAAAATTTAAAGGTAGCTTTGACAAAGTAAGTTTAGTAACAGGTGCATTTTTATTAAGAAAAACATAGTAAAAAACGCCTCCGCAGCTTTGGAAATGCTTTTTTTACTAAGTAATACATAGTAAAAAACGCCTCCGCAGCTTTAGAAATACTTTTTTTACTAAGTAAAACATAGTAAAAAACGCTTCTGTGGCTTTTGAAATGCTTTTTTACTAAGTAAAAAAACGCTTCCGCAGCTTCGGAAATGCTTTTTTTACTAAGTAAAATAGTAAAAAATGCCTCTGCAGCTTTGGAAATGCCTTTTTACTATGTTTTCTTAGTAAAAAAATGTCTTTAGGCTTTGGAAATGCTTTTTTACTATGTTTTCTTAGTAAAAAATGTCTCCAGGCTTTGGAAATGCTTTTTTACTATGTTTTTCTTAGTTAATACCATTTCCAAAGCTTTGGAGATGGTTTTACTATTGATTCAAATCAAATCAAATATTTGAATAGTTGATTTGAATTTGATCGAATCAAATCAAAGGTTAATTTGAATTTGATCAAATAAATGATTCTTTGATTTGAATTTGATCAAATCGAATCAAATATAAATTTGTATTTGTATTTGATTTGATTTTCAAATCAAATATTTAAATATCAAATTGAATTGCAGAACCCTAGTAATATCTATAGCTAATTTTGAGAAATTTATAAACTTTAAGCTATATAATAACAAATTGATAACTCAAATAAGCAATATCAATTTAAAAATCTTAATAATGCAAATCTTGCAAATCTGAACTAAAAACTTTTCAAATTCCATCAATATTTTTATAATATGAAAAGAATTTAAGAATTAATATTGATAAATTTGAGTAACCTATTATTAAAATTTGAGTAGTTTATATCAGTATTGGCAAAAGACCTTGAAAAAAATCTCAAATAACCTCAAATAACCTTATTATTATTATAAAATTCAAGTTAAATGACCTTATAATTTACCATTATTGGTTTATACAGGTGGTTTTAAAGTTTTGAATGCTAATTAAAATATAATAAAAATGTTTTATACCTAAAATATTATTAGTTGTAAATACATGTATTATGCTTATTACAAATCTTTGAATTTTTAATGATTTGATGAATGGTGTAATAAAAACGATAACAAATATATTATATAAAGAGAAACTTGAGTATAATTCTCATAAACTTAGATGAAATTCTAGTTGTACATATTATTCTTATATGATATATATAAGAAGATAAATCTGGTGTTTGCTTTTGTTTACAACTTTTACTTTCTCTTGCATAGACTATTACAGCTCACAAATTACAAGGTCTAACTTATTAAAAGTAGTTACAGATCTCAGCAAGAGGGAGTTTGTCATTTGTGATAATTTCTCACATTTGTTCTTTCAATAATATTATTTTAAGCCATCTGTGCTTAACAAACTTGAGTAAAAAATTTCAAAAGGTTAAAAAAGCGAATGTGGAAGAAAAAATACTAATTGAAATAGAATCTATAATCTAAATTCCTTGCAAATAAACTTTTTTTCATTTTGGTATTTTTGTTATACTATGTGTTCAATATTACAGCTAATTTCATAATTCGTGGACCACTAATAAATTGCGACTGAATGCGACTGAAAATATTTTATAATAAAATTACTATAAAATATTGCGACTGAATGCGACTGAAAAATTATTAATGGTCCATGAATTATGAAATTAGCTGTAAGTGTTTACAGATATATACAAGGATTACACAATTTGTTACAAGTGATATGCATTCTATTTTTGTATATTTAAGGGTTTTTCAGAAAAGGGTGATGAATTTTCAAAATGAAAATAAAAGTGATGTTTGTAAGAAAGACAAAAATAAGGAATAATTCATTTTTTGAGTTAGTACAATAAATAGTCCTTTCTACACTCTGGATAATTAAATTTTGGTTCAATTTTAATCACTAGATTTTGAGTTACAATTGTATGCATAAACTTTTAGAGATCCTCTTTATATAATAAATAGATAATTCTTTTAATATAATAAACTGCATTAAAATTTTATATTATATTCATTTTATATTGTTTAATACTCATTTTTATTTACAAATCACGGGTAAATAAATTTTATCTATATATAAGAGTTAAATTCAAAGGTGGTGGATGGGCGTCTCTCTTTTTCCTTCTATTAGCTACTCTAATAAATTACCTAGTCTACGTCGATTATCTCGATTACTAACTCTAAATTCTTCATGAACAGATCGCACTAAAAAGAGCTTATTGGCCAATCATTGTCAGGGTAATTTATGGGAAAAATCGTCGATCATCTAATCTAACAAATTGTCATACCCCAAATTAGGAAGAAAACAACCTGAGGAATATACTCTACGTCTAAATTTATCGTTTAAATCTTTATGGATATGGCTTAAATCTTCTCATTTTTTTCTTTCTAGAAGAAAATTCATTACTCTTCCAAACAATTTTTTAATTTTTTTTCCAATTTTTTTTTATGAAACCTTGTATAATTTATTTGATCTTTCATTATTTGAGTACTAACTAGTGAATTAGTTGATATTTTTTTGATTAATAATGCATGATATATCTTTAATTATACTTATTAATCTCAGAACAATTTAAAAGTCATAAATCTTTTTATTGCAAATAATCCTTTATTTTGAGCTTTAATTATAAGTCAAATAATGTAAATATTAGTTATATTCATTGCTAACCATTTATACAAAATTTAATTAAAATGATGTTTCCCATTCCATATTATCATTCAATCCAAAAATTTCTTCAAAGTCTTTTAAAGTCATCACGTCAACCTGCGTAAGGTTTGAAATTAATATGCATAAATACAAACTTGATTACATGGAAAATATATACTTACACCGGAAATTTTCGGACGATAAGAAATTTCTTCTTCATGTGCGATGAGTATACAATGTCTTTGTAATTGATTAATAGGATTCTTAGACGAATACGAATACAATAAAGCATAATAAAGTCTAGACATATTAGTTTCATTTTCTTTCTTTAACTATGTTAAAAAAAAAAAATTTAATTAATTAATTAATTACGAAAATGCTTGATTTTATAAAATGTACCTTTTTCCACAAAAGTATATCAAAATAATCAACATCAATTTCACTGTAATTCATCATATACTTGTCTTCATAGACACTAAAAAACCAAACAACTTTTCATTTAGAAATAGAATTTATCGATAACCAATGAAATTTTAATAATAAATACTTTAGGATGGTATTGATTAAAACATCAAGGTTATATTTATTATATTTGATTTCAGGATCCAACAGAACTTTCCAATTTGCGCCTTTTTCCTTTTGCTTTAGAAAAACACAAATTTATTTAAAGAATTTTTTATGGATATAACAAAAAGGATTACATTTCTTACATATTCAATAATATCCAAAATTCTTTGCAAACCATTTCCTTCTTCAAGTAATGCTCTTATCGTAACTGATAAAATACCTCCTATACGTATAATTAAATATTATTAATATTATTAAAATATTTAGAACACGACAAAGAATATATAATAGATATAACCTGAAATAAAGCATTCTTCGAATTTGATAGAATCTTGTTGCTTGAAATCCCAACCATATACAAAGAATTTACATTGATCTTGACGCTTTAGTTTTATCAAGTTTGGCATGAAATTGATCTGATCCAGCATTAAAACATGAACCTATGTAAACAAAATCGTCGAAACATTAGATTTTTAATACTTACTATCCACCTGAAAAATTTATTCTTATCATACCAAAACCAAGTCCATATTATCGCAATAATAATTCGGAAAATAATTAGCTCCGAATGCTCTCATTACATTTATTATACCTTCTGCCTCACCAAATTTAAGATTAGCGTATACCGTAAAGTTCGGTTTTTGTTCACATAATTTTGTTATGAAATCATTATAACCATTAGCAACCAACTCCGTTTTTGCTTTATAATAATTTGCATTACGGTTTGTTTCATTATCAAGCAATTGGACTGAAGGTTGTTGAAGAAACAAATAACCCTGCTTGATTTTTACATTTTTAGCTACGAGGAGTAAAGATTCTGTAGTCTCTTGATCGAAACTAAGGTTCTTACAGAGCCATCGATAATCGCCAAATACAAAAAAATATAACCCATTGTAATCATTTTCCAATCGAATAAACGTGACCTGTTAAGTTCGATTTAAAAAAGTGCATGAATTATTGGCAATATTATGTTTATGAATTAAACTGGTCAGCAAATTATACCAAATTGTGGAACTTCATAAGGAACTTTTCTTCTTTTAAATTTCCGCTTTCAGATTCCATTAAAAATATATCACTCAACTCATCGTTACCTTTACCTACTAAATATAAAGCATATGATAACGGTATGGCATTAGTCATGCAGATAGCATTATTAAACTCCAACGTATCCCTGTAAAATTAATATAAATTAATAAATAACATAAAATAAATCGAAATATTTGAAAGGAAAACCCTTGATATCTTACAAAATAGTTTTGTAATTGGATCCTTCTTTTAAAGGCTTAACAATTACTTTTGCTACAAAATCCCTCGTCTTTCCCTTAAGTAAAATGCCGTTCCATTGCCTAGAAAAATAAAATGTGTTTTATTTAACGGTTAAATTCAAATGTTAATTACTGCCAACTTACCAATGCCATTTTTGATTCTCAATAACTTTTGATACTCGCAAAGCACTTTTAAGGATAGGTTTATGTTTAATACCAGTTTTTATCAGGCTAGAATTATTCACATTCTCAATTGATATGTTTGGTATTGGTATTGGCACTTGCACACAATTGATATTTTGAGCAAATGTCACAGTTTTTATTTTTGATTTGTAAGCAGTAATTGTGTTGGTAGAAAGCTGATCGTGGAGATTGGTGGTTGCTTTATAATCTTTATGTAAATATAAATTTGCCCGTGTCTATTTTTAACCGAATTGAATTAACGAATATGTGACTAATGATTTAATTTATTAATATATCAGAAACTCTTACTTTCAACTCTTTTAAACGCTCTTCACGTCCAGCACGATCTTCTTCTTCTTTCATTTGTTGAAATTCGAGTATCAATCCTTCTACACCTTGTATATTCTTCACGGACTCCCATTGCGGTTGTAATGATTGATCTACTCACAAAATATGATAAATAAATACAATTATGAAATGATATTCTATTTCAAAAATTATTTACCTTCAAATGACACTTTTGCGTATTGTTCACCAAATATGAATTTCATTTCAACAATTGCGCTGATCTGAAGTGGTATGCATGTTTCATTAGAGTTTTGTTGATTCGTTAGAATTTTTGAAGAATTCTTGAGACTAGTTTATGGGCATCAGATAGAAAAATAATTTTAGAAATTTGAAGAAAAATTTTAGCCTTGAGAAAGGTACTGTATAATTATTTACAATCTTTTAGGATGTGAAGTTTTTGCAGTTTGTAAAGGCATCTTGAGATTATTAACTTACAAAAACGGAACTTAAAAGAACTATCTTTATATTCATCAGGTAACAAATTATTTATTTATGATATAAACTTTCTAGATGTGTCATGATTTACAAATTTTAAATTTATTGAGTCATTATAATTTAATTCGAAATTTCTTGCACGTGGAATGACGGTTATATTAATAAATCTAGCTATTTATAAAATTAGTATAAGACTAATTCTCAAAAGAATAAGATGACAAATATATTGCCTTTTTTATTTTAATTATTTAAATCACTATTTTTTTAATAATCAATTAGTAAACCCGAAGTCGCCCATTATGCAGTTGGACTGTCTATTCGCTTACACGTGGAATATTCAACAGCATAATTCTTTTGAATTTAGCCATTCGTGTAACAACCTCCTTGGTTGCGCACAGGCTTATTTTTATCTTTTGCTAAAAAAAGTGCAGATTTACTTAATGGAGGGAAATGTCAAGAGGGCTTGCATATTGTCATTGTTTGAAAAATGGAAAAGATAATTAGATTGTGTTCACGCTGTTATTTGACATTGTTCATCACTTATTATAATCATAATAATCATTATATCAGGACAATGTCGAGATCTTCAATAAAATTAGTATTATCTAACCTTAAAAGTTATATAAGAAATTTTCTGCAAAATGTGAGTTTTTCGTTGCACCAATCCGCCGTCAAGAATTAGTTAGGGTATTGATCGATATGATTTATTTTTGAGGAATTGGCGTTTATTTGCTTTAAATCGCGTGGAAAGCTTGATTTCAACCATTTTTAAGGCAAAGATGAGATGCAATAAACAATGTTACGTTAACTAACGATTCAAGTAATGACCCTGATCTGTGACATGCGGATTGATCGATAACGCATACACAGCCTTTGTATACATCCCACATGTGAAATAAATGTCGTTGATCCTTTCAAGGAATTTCTTTGTTATAAAAGGTGGTTGTGATTTAATTACGAACACTGCACAACTTAAATTGTTTCGCCTTTTTTTTTTTTTTTTTTTTTAATTTATTTATTTATTATGACTTCCGATTTTTTGGTTGGTCTTTCCCGCGATCTTGCTCAACTTCTTCAAGATGGTGATGATTATAATGTTATCATTAAAGCAGGAGAGGGGAATAATGTAAAATCATTTAAAACACATTCGGCTATTTTACGCGCTCGATGTCCATATTTTCGGGCTGCTTTATCTAGTAACTGGGTTCGTAAAGAAGGTGATTATACAATATTTAAAAAACCCAATATATCACCATCAGTATTTGACGTAATCCTAAAGTAAGCAAGATATTTTTTTTCCTTTTTTTGTCACGAGGAGTGTCGATTTATTTAAAAAAATTTTTTTTATTGTGTATTATTTAGATATATTTATACGGGAACGATTTTGGTTAATCCTAACGATCCATATGTCGATATTCTTGAATTGTTGGTAGCTGCGGATGAATTGATGTTGGTAGAATACGTAACCCGAATACAGGATCATCTTCTTATAGAAGAGACAGTTTGGTTACAAAGTAACCTTGTTCTTGTTCTCAATGCAATCTTTAAACAAGATTCTTGTTCAAAACTTCGTGATTTTTGTCTTGATGAAACTTGTGCGGAACCAAGCCTAGTATTTGATTCCGAAGCATTTACACGTTTGAACGAAGATGTTCTTATATATCTTTTAAAGAGAGGTGATCTCTGGATGCAGGAAGTTGAAGTTTGGGACAATTTAATCAAGTGGGGTATGGCACAAACTCCAAGACTTGGTGATAGACATTTCACAGATTATACACCTGATGATTTTAACGCATTAAAAAAAACCCTTAATGGTTGTATATCTCTCATTGGATTTACTGGAATTTCATCAACCGACTTTTACTTTAAAGTATGGCCATTTAGAGCAATTTTACCAACCGAATTATCCGATGAAATTGTTAAATATCATATGGTACCCGAATCACAAGTTACATCTTTATTATCACCTATTCGATTTCCTGCGATTAGACTTGATTCAAAACTAATTAGTCCAAAACATGTTGCAGTCATATCTCATTGGATCGATAGAAGAGAGGGGAATCCATGTGCTTGTAGGGACATTTATGATTTAAAATTAATTTTGCGTGGGACTCGTGATGGTTTTACACCAGCGATATTTCACAAACACTGTGATAATAAAGGTCCTGCTGTAGTTGTGCTAAAAATTCATGGAAGTGAACAAATTATTGGGGGCTATAATCCTTTAGGGTGGAAAGGCAAAGATGTTTGGGGTAATACTGAGGATAGTTTTTTATTTTCACTTGGTAATGGAACCAGTGTTAAAAATGTAATTCTTAGTCGTGTAAAACCTTACTGTGCTAAATCCGCAATATTTCATGGGAAAATGTACGGTCCAGTATTTGGATCAAGTGATTTAGAGATGAAAGAACAGTTTAACAAGGGTGTCAATTGTTGGTCACAAGAATATACTTATGAGAGGAAAGTTACGAATGAACAAAATTTTTGCGTAGATGAATATGAGGTTTTTCAAATTATAAAAAAGGATCAAAAGAATATTTAAATTTTTTTTGTCACATATAAAATGTTGTTATTATATACAATTGTATTTATAGATTTTTAAGCATCATTAGCATTTAGAGAGAATAACTTTGATATAATATTTTGTAATATAAATCAATCATGTAAAAAAAGAATTAAGAAAGCAAATTTTAATTTCCGGAAAAAAAAAAAAAAAAAAAATTATATATTTATTTCGTTAATTAATAAAACTTGTATTTGTTTTTATTGTGTGGTGTTAAAAAAAAAAATCGATTGAGTTATTTCCAATTAGTTTTTTTATCATCCGGGGAAATAAGAAAATTTTTGCTGAACATTTCCAAAAGCAAAAAAGCGCCCGTTTCGGAACGTATCTGGAATTCTTATTCAATTGCATACATCCCATCATGCGAAATAAGGTTTTATTCAAAATACAAAGAATTGATTATTTCATTGCAAGCAATATTTCTTAATTGCTGGATCATCGATGCATCTTCAGTGTAGGACCCTGATTCGTTATGAAGTAAAAATTCAAGCATGAACTTTTACATTCTGTCATGATTGCGTAACCAAACTACATAAATGATTCCTATTTAATATATAATAAATATATAATTTTATAATTTTAATTAACCAACCTTTAGACTCGAGCTTTTCGTTCTTTCATATATACTCATTTTAAAATAATGAACAACATAAATAACTTTAATTATTCTATTTATAATAATCATGGACATGGGACGGTAATTCAAAATTTTTTATTTACCAATTCTATGAATAACAAGGGAAAGGAAGTTTCTTAAATATTTTTTATTTTATATTTGGGAAGGTGGCGACGAAGAGCTTGGAGACCCAAATTCTTTACAAACAATTTTATCTACCGTACAAATATTTCTTAAATGTTTAGTTTTCTTTTAAAGGTCATTCATTGATTCTTACTAGAACAAAAAACACAGATTTGTTGGGCTTTGTAGGTGCAGAATACATCGAGTATCTTAATGAAAATTTTTTGCATCAATGGTGTTCAAATAGTATTTCATCATTTGAATATTAGATAAGGATGGCTACATGTATGAATGGAACGAGATCTTTTTTTTTGAATGACATCAAATCAAAAATGGCTTTTTTTAATAATTTTTTTTGCGTTTCTCTATTTCCACACTTTCTCTACTCTTTCGATCTTTTTGTCATTTATTTCTTCGTTTCTCATCATAGAAATTATATATATCAGATTGAGGACATTTATTTGAATTCTTGTTGCCCATATTAATTAAGTTGAAAAGAAAATATGAAGGTAATGTATAAATAGTTAATCATACTTCAGCAAAATTGGGAAGTTAGAAAGAACATTTGTTAACTTTGCATATTCGTAACGATCAAAATAATGTAAGATTTAACAAAATAAGTAGAATTCATTTTTAATTCGTGTAACCATGAATTTTATTTCTGTGCATGACATTTCGCAATATCGACATATTTTATATATCGAGACCTATGTCAAAAATAACCGAACCACAGAACTCATGCACAATAATATATCAATACTTTATTTACGTGTAAAAGCGTAATTCCTTTGATTGGTTTAGACAGGCGGGAAAGTAACGTAACTTTGGACACTCCTGTTAAGAGAACTAGTTGAGTTTTATACATACTGCCTCGTTTCACTTCGTGTAGGGTTAAAGAAACCCTTCTTAATCAAAGATAACAGATTGATATGTGTTTGGAAAAAAGGCAAAATAAGTTTTATTTCTGGCTTTGAGAGAAGGTGGGGGCTGTTTTTATAAATTCCGCGGGAGCAAGTGATTGCCACAATTTCTTGCAAGTTAAAGCAATAGCATACATCATCCCCATTAGAAAATATATGTATCCGAAAATCGGCTATACTGCGCATTTTTTCGCAATAAGACAATCACGTGGCTACGATCGCGAACGTAACAACTTTGTTAATTTGGGAGATAATTCCTTTTCTACAGTTCCATGAACCACTTATTCAAAAATTACGTAATCGTAAGAATGTGAAATCTTCTAAAGCGGATTTGATATTTAATTCTGAATCTGATTTAAGTGGCAATTTCTCATAAGTTTATTTAGTTAGAATCAGTTCGTCATAACTGGTATTACAAAAATATGATACTATTTAATTTCAGTTCTATGAAAGTGGACCAACCCATGAAATTGAATCCAATATGAATAAACAGAGTTAGTAATATCGTGTAGCTAGTGTTGTTATTGAAGCAGACCCTAGGATATATACCACTGCTAAAGTAGCAGATGTTTCAGGTAAAGTATCCCATATAGGTTCAAATCCCAAAGTCAGGCAAAACCTGACCCTTTGTTAACAACTTGAGTAAGATATTTCTTGCCCAATTTGCATCTTAATCCATCTTTACCTTGTACAAATCACACCAAAAAGTCTTAGAATCATCCAGTTTGTTATTGATTTGTCCACAATGCTCACATGTCTTAGAAGTATACTTCTCAGTACACTTGATGATCTTCGCAATACTTGTACTTTCTTATCTTATGCAAAAGAAACATTCAAAATCTAAAATGCAATCAGGTCAGCATTGTGCAGGCTGTTCTCAATCAGACCTTTCTTTTATTCTTGAGTATCATATGTGATATTTTGAATATGGGTAGCAAAATGATCTCATAATTCTGACATAACTATCAGACCAGCTGGTGATTATTAAATTACAGATTCATTGTATGATTCGTAGTTTCTTGTCACTTTATAATTTGTCATATTTCTTGGATAATTTAAATAATTTGTCAATATCATTATTACTCCACTCAAATAATTGACCATTGGATCATAACTGATTATAAATATACAAACATCTAGATTTATTGAGATTACCTTTTTACAAATATCAAAAGGAATAGAACACAAAGTAAAAATAATTCAGATGATTCATAATTATATTAATTATGTTATTGATCTCTGATGATTGTTTTAAAGTAATGATATTCTTTAGAAATATGTATTGTTCTCTGTTCCTATTCCAATCTTTAATAAGAATTGAAATAGTTTGTACTTCATTCAAAAATTTTTTTATGCAACTTTTTGTTTGCTTTGTATACATTTATTAATTGTCAGATCATGTACAAATATACTTCTATAGGAATCTTTTTTACCAATTTTTCAATTATAAAATACTCATTATTCAGATAGTACTTTTGTATAATGCTCAAGTTAGTGATCCTATCATTCTTCATTATCTTAAAAATTTTATTGTATATTTACCTCACAGTTCTCATCCAGTTTATTAGTTTTTCTTTTTTTTCAGGCATTAGATAAATTCATATATTTCATGTTTTTAATTTCTCTTCATTATTTTTGATTTTTGGCTGATTTGAGCCTATTGTGTCTTACTGTAAAAATAGTAATAATTGATAATAAGTCTTTAGCAAGCTCATTGGATTCAATATCATCAATGTTGATATCCATACTAAGTATCATAATCTTTATATTATGTTTAATAAAGATCCATTTAATCTAGCAATTAATTTTAAATTTACAACTTATTGCAACATAAGCTAAAATTAGTTGCAACATATATAGATTAAATGTTGCAATATTAAAAGTTGCAACATATTAATTACAGTTCTTATCTTTAATTTGATCAGTTCAAAAATAAAGCAGTAGAACTTAGAAATGGTGTTATAATTACCAAAAAATATTGCAAATCTTCATTTTTTAAACATTCTGATATATAATTAGCATGAAATACAACAAGCAATATTAATAAACTTTGATTGGTATAGAGCAGACAAATATCTACTGTTATTGAATATATTGATAAATTGTCTTACAAATGTGAAATTTAACGCCTTTCTTGATAAAGTCAATGATTTTTATTGGCTTAAAAAATTGCAAAAATATTTGAGGTATTGTACAATATACTCTCCTTCAATTTTATATGCATAAGACATTTTATTTATTTTATAATTCAGGCGATTTAGAGATTTATTAAATTAATGCATGTTTTGATCAATGTATCTCAAATACTTTTTTTAGCTTTATATCATGATAAGCTATTATAATTTATATAAAAATTCAATCATATTGTTAGTTTATCATTGTTATATAAAGTTTTATTTATATAGGCTTGGATTTTTTAATGATTATATTTTATGTGACGTGGTTGAATAAATGCTTCAGAAAAAGTTTATATAATATTAAAATAATTTATAATAACAGATATAAGTTATGAAATAAATCTAATAGATAATATGAAATATTATACAATAATTTTTTTTTATAATTATATTTTTATTAATGAATTCTACAATTAATAATTTAAAATTGATATTTTATTTTTAATTTAAAATTTTCATTTGTAAGCTTTTTAGTCAAACTTTGTAATAATATTTTAGCCTAAGAAAATAATTAGACATTAATTTATCTTACGCACAAGATTTTTTATCCATATGATTTAGTATACTCTGTATTATAATTTCTTAATGTTATAATACCGACCAAAGTCATGTAAAAATTTTAGGATAGAGAAAAAAAAGAAAAAAACTTTGAGGTCAAGTAAAAGAAATCAAAAAACAAACTAATTTAGTAATGAAAAGTTTTTTTCTAAAAGAACTTTTTATAGAGTTATTTGATCTAAACCAGAGGGTTCAATTTATAAATCTTTTTACTAAATTTAAAAATATAAATTATTTGTGCTATTTTGCTTAATATTACTTTCTCTACAGTTTTTTTTAAAATCTTTTACAATTTTATTTTGCAGTAAAAAATAATATTTCTGAATGTCAAAACTCTTTCTCAATTTTAACCTAAAATTATCAATAATAAATTAAAAAAGATTTGAAAAAACATATTATTATGTTTTAAAGCTAGGTATTCTAAATTTAAAGAAAATAAACACTCAACTAAAAATAATAAAAATCAATGATCTCAATATTATAGCTGTTCTTTTTATATTTATGCTTCTTTTAATAATACTAATAATTTGTGATATATTATTAATATAAATAGATATTACTCATAATCATCAAATATTTGATAAGGAAAATAGATTTTTATTTCTAATAAATAAAATATCTCTGAAGATATACAGATATTTTTATAAGTTACAAGATACTTGACAAATTTTTTACTAAATACTTATTAGTAAACTAGCAATTCAGGAACTTAGGTTATTAAAAAAAATAATAAAAGAATAAACATATAATATTAGGTATTGAATTTTGATACAAGTAAAGAAAGTAAAGAATTGATTATTTTTATAAATATATTTAATTAAATGTCATATTTTTATAGCCAATTGAATTACTGAATTATTAAATTATCAGTAAGTACTTAATAAAAAATTTGTGAGTATCCTATAACTTATATTTATAAAATAGCTATAAATAAAAATATAATTATATCATGCTGAATATTTATACATATAATTTTAAAAGAAGAATTTAGTAATTATAATATCATAGATATATAATGATATTTATAATTTTATTTATCAGATAGAAGGCTCTAGTTTAAAAAAAAGAATTTGATACTTAAGAATTTGTAAATTATTAGAATAAAATTAAATATGATAATACAGAATTTTATTATTTATTAATAACTAATAACACATAAAAGATTAAGATAGATGTTTTAAAAATAACATATAAATAATAGCAGTTTTAATAATATAGTAGCTTTTGACAATACATATAAAACAAATTATTTTCAAATACTTTTTAATATTTTTACTAGAATTAATAATTATATAATATTTGCTTTGCTGATATATTAATAATTAATAAAATTTTAAATTGATATTTTTAATTTAGCATAGAATCTTAAATAATATATATATATATAATAATAATAAAATTATTTAATTATCACAGGAAATTTTTTTAGTTATATTAAATTTTAAATTATTTATATTTTTAAATGTATAACCAAATAAATATTTAATTAAATTCATATATAAATATATGTAGCAAATTCCTAAAATTAGAAAAAGAAATCAAAAAACTAATCAAGAATTAAAAAATCAAATTAAAAAAATTGAAAAATTGTAATAATTTAAATTAAATCTGAAA